ATGGGGGAGAAGGGGAGGGGGAGGGGGGGAAAAATGAGAAAAATGGGATAAAACACACATAAAGAAAAACTAAGAGGAAAATGAGAAAAATGATCATCAAATTTTTAGGTATGGTCCTTACGAACCGAATGATACATGTCTGGATGTTGTAGGATGATATTTGTAGGAGGAGATAGATTTTCTAATGTACCCCTTTTTAGCAGTTTTCTATGAATTTCACGTTTTCTATCAATTTTTTCGAAAAATTCATAGAAGTAAAATGTTCTTATTTTTACATTTTACATATGTATGTGAAGTTTCATGATGATCGGATAATAACTGTAGAAGTTTTTCCAGAGGGTAGTCGGTCCCCTTAAAAGAAATGCAATACTCGATTTTTGGAAATATGATGCTAAAATTAATGATCCCTATTAGAATTCAATAGACGTTACAATTTCAGAATTATCTTCAAATAGTTTGTTTCAGTTCGTTTGATTTGAAGTTTTTGTTTGCTTGATCAGAAACAGAAAAAGTTTTTGTTCATTTGATCAGAAACAACATAATTATTCATTCTCTTGCACTAAGTAAACGAATGATTAGTCGGACTCGGTTACCGTCCGCATTGATCATCCCGCTAGATTATGCACCGGGAGCAGGATGCGGAAAAGAAGCTAGGTATTTAATTCAGTTGCACGCTAGCCCACATGATTGTAGTTCTGCTCGTCTGAACTCTAACTTGCGTGTTTAGTGTGCATGATGGGAAACTCTGCTTTGCAGCGTAGGTATAATAACTATAATTACTTAATGAAGTTTAGTTCATTGCGGTCAACTTAAGAGACAAATTTTCATCAACTAATACTTTTTATAAGTCTAATTTTAATTCTTGAGTGAAAGGTGCAGGCATACAACTTCCAAGTAATTGGGTACTTTATAGAAACTGAGCAAGTTAGCGTAAGTGTTTTAAGCCTTTAAGAAGTTCATTTTTGGCCTCAAATAACGATGTTGAGTAGAAAAAGTGGTCTTGGTGGATCAAATAATATATGAACCTTCAAAATTAGAATTCCATCCTGGAGGCCAGGGAGGGTCACGACTCACGAGAGTGGAACCTCTGAGTCTGACCAGCTGTAATGACAGATTCCGCATCACTCATATTGTTTAGATCTGATGGCTCCAGTGAAGGATTGAAACCCTCAAAATTTGCATCAGCACCTTCATCATGCATATTCAAATTCATTTTCTCCACCGTTTTCACCATCTCCAAGCCCACCCCCAAGCTAGGGCCTTCAAATTCTACTGAACTGAGGGCATTGTTTGTCCTATTTGAGTACTGGATCTGTGAGTCTGAGCGAACATTGATCGTCTGACCCCCTGGCAACACCGACATTGGTATTGGCTGGGACATATCCGACTCAGCCTCGTCATCAGTTGATCCAGATAACGAATTACTATTTGCTTTTTTCCTACGTTTTCCCTTTCCCATTTTCCCATGCACGACAGCAACAAACAACTGCTTCATCGCTTCTGCATCTAGGAACTCGAAAGAGCGTCTGATCAGTCCAAGTCGTTTATTGGCTTTATTAACTTGACCTTCAATATGCTTAGAAAATTTCAACTCATTGTCGATTCATCAGGAGGGGGATTCATCAGCAACTAAGATTCGTCTAAAAATAAAAATAAGGAAATGAATGGAATAAGGAAGAAAGAAGCTGTTGCAAACAAGCTGATAATTCATGGACTAATGTTAAAGCAAAATGAATGAGGTATCTTTTTATGGGAAAAAATCACTGAAAAGAAACAGAGTGATTCCTCTCATTCGTCCACTTGCGATCCGGGCGTTTCTGCTTGGCCAACAAATGGACACTGTGACGTTAGAGTCCTACGACGGTCGACGACTTTGCTCACGTCGTATCGAGTAGCTCGAGCGTCAATAAAAAGGGCCGCGGTGGGTGCGAAGTCCATGCTTTCGATCACCTGCGTAGAACAACCTTGCCGCGCTATCCAGAAGTCGTTCCAGTGATATGCTACCGACGGGCGGTAGCGCCATCGAAGTTTTGCCCGCCGCTGCAGAGTCGTGCTGCCCTCCCTGTTGCTGCTGAGATCGCATCGTTGCGAAGAATGTTTCCACGATCGCCTCTGTTAGTTTGAATAGGGCAGTGCATTTCTTGCCAACTATTATTTAGGTAAAGTAACATCTTGTCATCTAATAATATTACAAGTTTGCACCCGATAAACAGATAAGGTAGTCAAGTTGAATAATGTAGCTAATTATATACTCTATAGATATAACAATGATTTCTACTACTCTAAATATTCTCTAGCAGACTAGCAGTTACCTTAGATTAGGAGCAATTATTGGAGTGCAATGCGATATATTACACTTAATTGCCGATGATGCTCGCTACCTTACCCGAGCCACTACGATGCAGACCGAAGTCCAAGAGTAGGCAGGCAGATGGACCAGCCACACGGAAAATTTTTGGTCGCTCTAAAATGACTGATAAACAGCTTGCTCATTTAGGACAGTGGCAATACGGTCTCAACATTGCGTTGTTACAATGAGATGCCGTCTAAAATCGCACCGAGACCTTGCTGCTTGCGTCACTTTAACGTAAGTAATAGGACCGCTGACAGCAGGTGTCAGCCAATTATCCCTGCCAACACCAGATAAGGAAGATTCGTGAATAGCAGCAACGTAGGACGCAATGTACTTTCGAGCGAGCTTTACGTTCAGAGATGATCTAAGATTCTCGTGTCTCGCTGCCAGGTCAACGAGCCGAATGGCTGCCGCTGAGTGAGTGTACTCTTCCACGAACTCTTCATGATTTTCTTCAGCGAGCATGCGCACGATGGAAGGAGCGTCTAAAATACCACAATCAGCACTCGCTTCACCGATGCACTTGGCGATGCGCTGATTGAATGTCCGATGAAGCGCACAGGCGAAACTCACCACATCCTCCTCCATATCCTTCTGTTCTCGCACTTGCCAAATAACTGGGCCTTGTGGACTCCCTTCTGGGACTCCACCAGCCATCCCTCTAGTAGAGGTGCACCTTTGTACATACCACCTGGACGCACGTTATCGTAGCTCTCCTTCAAACGTGGATAGTCATCGAGGCGAAATTCTTCAGCGCGCTGCGACAAGCAATCGGAGACCTTGGGCCAAAGCACTGCTATCTTCCAGTGAGGAAGTTTTAAGTCTTGAACAATTTCTATAAGCCGCCGAATTGGCTCCATGAGCTCCAACAGGCAGCACAGGTCGAAAACGAAGTCACTACCAAATAACCTGTATTGAAGCTCCTCGTTATCCGCACATTTTGGGTTCTCTGCACGGAACGCGTTGTGTAGCTCCAGGTAGCTGGATGCGATTGCTTGAACGCGTTCATAATCGTAGCGTCGGAAATTGTTAACTACAGAATTGCATTAACCTCCCATATTTCGGCAGCAGATTTAAATTGGGGCTTTGTCTTATCTTGCCAACTCCTTTTGAGATGGCAAGAGGAGTTGGAGTTTCCAAGGTAAACAATAAAAATATCTAAGGAGAAAAGAAAGACTGATTTGTATAGAAAATTAATTCATGCAACCTTGATATACCAACAAAAGCGCCTAAACCTGTCAACTTGCAAAAAAGAACTTACCAAGCAGTATTCAAAAGCAATGACACACAAGTCGCCATGCACAAGGTATATACTGCTCGTAACTCGCCACTCGTTGAAAAAAATTATCATGAATACTAGTCAGAACTACGATTCAAGGCAACGCGGACGTCGTACTCTTCAAGTAACTAATAAACACAGAAGGTTAGGTCCAGTCCCGGAAACAAATCCATCAAATGCTTGAAGGCAAACCATTCTATTTAATGGGAATGTGATAGATTCCCATTCCCACATAGATCCACCAGGTCCATAGATTCCAATCGTACCTAAACTCCCTTAGAGAGACCTATCCAAATAGCGACGCACATTTAGCCATTGTGCGGGTCATCCTGAAACCATTTGGTGTGAAACAAGATCATATCAGAGGTACGTGCAGTAAGAGGGTCTAATATGAATTATATGATCCATCCATTGCAGAAATATAACTGCAGAAATTAAATTGCAGTCGATAGAACTGGGGAAATAAAATTGCAGTCGCTTTAACTGGAGAAAGGCAATCGCAATCGATTCTCTATACTCGATTGGATCGTTGTTACATGGATTGCAATGATCGCATCGTTGAGTTGACATGCCATAAATTCCTCGTAAACAAAAGCAAAATTCCCCTTCAGTTGACAAAATTTAATAGAAGAATCTGTTCAGTTCTAGGAACAAATCTGAATCCGATGCTTCAGTACAAAGCATCAAACTTAATGGAAATGTGGACGTTGCCAGCTATACTTCTATTGCAGTCACTCGAACTGCATAAATAAAATGCAAGTTGAAACGCTGAACTGGATTACATTTGACAGACTATTAGTTGACATAGCCAACTTTTCTTTGTTTTTTTCTTGCTGTAATTGCCATTCAACGCTGCCTGCAACAAAGAAACAAACCAAGTTTAGAAATTAAATTTAAATTTGCCAATTGCCGCCGAGTCTATCACAAATTGCTGACAGTATAACTGAAAATCCAAGCATAACTGAGACTGATCGGAAATAACATTGCCAATATATTCTCACCGGGAGGATGAGGCAGAAACTCGAAGCAAGTCTCGGCGTCGACGAAGGCCCCAAACACTGGGGTAGTGGGGTACATCTTCCTGAACATCTTCACCTCATACGCAGGATTTATAAAAATTTGGTCCTCCTATGGACAAGCAATCACCAGTAAATTAAGACTGCGAGTAATGAGTGGCAAAAAACAGCCTTCAGCGCCCATTTGTCTTCTTATGAGCAGTATCAGTACATTATCAGACACAATCAGTGTTATGTTATGCCGGCAGCAGCAATTGCGCCAGTTTTACGCAAATGCAATTTAGTTCGTGATAAAAAATACTCTAGCAGAAAAGCATATGCCGAAATTGTGCAATCTTACTTGCGAACAAAAATATTGCAATTAAATCGCTCATGAATTACGAAACGAAGACTCGGAATATGGACAGCACCAACTAAAAAGAATCAAACGCTAAATATTTATTAAGATTTACGATACTAAACGCACTGACTCCAATAATCGAAGTGATAAGATTAACTAATGCAATTATTAAAGACCAATTTAGAGAGAGTAGGTAATAGAGATCAGGTAATCAGTTCATACATTGATGGTATAAATATTATCAAAATAAAAAACTGTTTCGCTTACCTCATGGCGTCCATGGCGTCGTTCACTGCAGGTGATGAAAAAGGCAACGCTGGTCTTGTTCGGATCATAGAACTTCCGGAACTGCAAATAGCGCGAATAAGAAACGGATAACCGCAATGCAACACACATTCCTGATATCTATCAATCACATCCAGCCCTTACAAGAAATTCTCCTCAGTTCAAATAATTACTTCGTATTCACATGCCTCGTTTTGATATGATATTATGTTTGAGTTCAATGGTGTGAGCAGAACGGGACTATTCCGTCAAACTAACCTATCATAGTTTTTTTTTCTCAACGCATACACAAATTGATGTGAATTCCCGAATTCACATCAATATTTTAATACAAAATAAAAAAAATCACTGCCATAGTGACTTTTGAAATTTAGAGTTTTTTACGTAAACCATGGCCTCGAATTTCCAAACAATCTGGCATTGAAAATGTCAGCTAGAGCATGGAAGGCTGATGTTTCGATCAATATGTTAAAATAAAAAAATAAATAAAAACCTGCGATTATATTCTAATGCTTCATTTTTTTCTAGACGCTTCCTTCAACTGAAATGACCATGAGCGTAGGGGTGTGTGAGTATTCGTAAAGCAATAACTGTTTTTGGTCTACATGCGCAGATACAATAATTTCAGTAAAACTTACATAAAAATCTCCTCAAACAATTGCACCAGCATTCGTCACCTTAGACATGGCTTGACTTGTCATGTCCACGTCCTCCACCGCCGTGGAGATGCCAACGCTTGCTGCCGTCACGTTCTCACCACAAACCGCCATGCCGAGGATACCTGAACGAGCAAATAATATGAATCTGAATGACAGCTGCACATCCAAATTAAAAAAAAATATAACTCAGTACTCACTGCAGTGAGTGACAGAGAGCGCATTTTCTCGTCGACGAAAACTTGAGGTCACGGACGGACGGACAGACGGACAGACAGACAGACAGACAGACGGACGGACGTGGCGAGCACAATAGTGCATTTTTTTCCATAAATGAGAAAAGGCGCTAAAAAGTGTGTATCTTTGCACGAGTATTTACTAGGTGCATGTGCGTCTGAAGAGATAGCAGTGCATTATTGCAGCCTTTACATGATTATAACCATCATATCAGTGTTCACCATTGGCATCCTGTTAAAAGAACACTCAACATACCTTCCAGAATAAATCCATAATAAGCAAATTTTGCTGATGAATAACTTACCTTTCCTTGCCTGCCGCTTGGTATAGCCCCACTCAAAAGATTTTCCTCCCACCACCGCCACGTTGCCTTGCTCTCTGCTCAGTGAAATAGACGTGAGCCGCGAGCATGAAACTCGTGCGTAATGATATTCAATTTAAAGGAAGTGAAAAACGCCAAGACATGCTCACCTTTTGATAAGCTGCTGAACGTAAGGCACGGAGTCCACACTTAAATCTTCAAAGAACAGCACGGCTCTGACCCGATCTTCCTTTTTTAGGCAACCATGCCACGTTACCAGGTCTTCCGTAGAATTTGACGAGTTGACGTTCTGCAGCATCAAGGAGAAAGTTGTCATATTCCTGAATTACAATATAAATATTGACATCAATTCATTTTATCTTCAATCACGTCAAATCCATAGTGGGTGAAGCAGAAGGTGGAGATATTAGTGCAAATCAATACTGGCAATGATATTCAAAATAATGCTGTTGGGATGTCCGATACTGAATTTCGAAAGATCATCTTCAGAAAATTCAAATTGGCAGCTCTTAAAAGGACTGCACAAATCAACTAAACTAGCTTGCAAATCTTCCTCCACCAAAAGCAAAAGATGCTTATCAAACGTTGCACCGAAGATGTGAGCTTTTATCGTGAAGCGCGCGCTGGACCCCAGCTAATCAGAGAACTTGGTTTGATCTTTGTTGCCAGTGTTGGTGTTCCCAACATTCTGTCAGCGTATGTTCAACTTTTATAGTATAATTACTCAACTTCGATTTATTTTATAAATATTTGTGAAAAATCCGTGACACCCTGGCACGGCGATAGGTGAACCGTTGAGTATTAATGTAATCATTAATAAAGTAGTTTTTGCGTGGTTTTTAGGTACGAATATTAAGCAGTTAGAAGCTCGTATTCACTGAGTTTTATCAAAGGTCACTTACCGTTTGCTTCTTGGTAATTTTCAGAGGACGAAAAGTGACACCAGGAACGTCTGGGAAGCACATCATGGTTAATTCAGGAAAGTCCGGCCAAGCAGATACTGCAGTGCTCGGACCAACATTGTGCCTCAGAACGTTACGGCAGAGAGCACAATTTAAGCTGGCCTTCTCCTGCTGAGCTCTTGTTGCAAGGATTGGGAACTGCTCTTGATACAAGGATCGGACAACACTTGTGTCCGAATCTGAGCTGTTTTCTGAACTTGAAGACTGTGGCATCGATATGTCCAGGGCAACAGGTGTTTGGTCCAAAGACTGATTAATTATAGCTGATCTTCGAACCTTGACTGAAGGTGAAGCACAACCCTCAGGATCAGCAAGAGGACGCTTCATTCCATGTAATGTTTCAACTTTAGCAACTTGACTATTATTAATAGTACAAGCATCTGTATTGGCCATTTTAGGGAGTAGCGTAGTGTTCGGGGAAAAAGCCAGGTTTGGGCACTCGGGTGATTCACAAAACGATATATTTTTATACACATATCGACGGTGTGCCATCACTTCTTCTGTGGAAATGATGCCACCATCGCAGAATACTTCTACAGCAGGGCAGGCTGGCGGCAGAAGTTTACGATATGACGGCAAATTTCCTATGGGAACTGGGAAGGTTTACTATTAATATATATATACATTCAATCATTACACTAAAAAATATAAACTAATTTCCAGTTAAATTGATTCATTGGGCAATATATAAAATGAAATTTACAGGGCATCACAAATTTAGAATGTTGCAAAATTTGTTGCAGCCAATTGGTCCGAGATCATTTAGATAAATTTCTCCAAAGGTAGTTGAAAAAGATTTCAGTGACTGATTTTCAGTCAGAATATATACTTGCTAGAACAATACTTGAATTTCCCTTAGCCATTCATGATTAATATAAAATACATTTACAAAATTTCTGCTACAAAGAAAGTATCAGAAAATACTCATACCAGCATACATTATAGCAACATTTTTCTACTATAGAGTGAATTATAATCAATAATTCGAGTTCACAAAATTCACCAGCAGAATATTTCTGGCGTTTGTCATGCAGCACCAGACAGAAGCCAGGGACTGACCGCCACCGCTGTGCCCACAACCGCATCTTATTCTCCATCTCCAGTCTTTTGGAATCTCTAGTCTCCCCATCCTGCACGTAAAGTTATCTGCAGTATTTCTTTCAACAGGAAACAAACAGAGTGATAGATCACAGAAGCAGCACCTAGAAACACACTGCATATTTGAGAAAACGTTTCACTGCAAAGAACTTGGATCGTTTGAATGTTTACAATGTAAGTTTAATAAACTCCCACAGTCGAGTAGTTTGTTTTTGAAATTATTTTATGATACATGTGACCAATTAGCTTGTGCTACTGTCCAGATTTATCTGCTCAGCATTGAACCAGGCAAAAGTAGAGCAGGACACTTTAAAGTGTAACAAATTCAGCCAAGTTCAAGTTAAAATTTGAAAAAAAAAATATTTCTGGAAATTTATGATAGTGTTATCACACTATCTCTATTCTATAATATCATTTGAAATTTGACTTGCATTTTCTAGTTACTATGCTTCCTAATTTACAGTTTAACTTTAGTGTGTGGAAAATATCTTTATGCAATTCAGCATTAATTTTACACATAAAATCAGTTGATTACATGAAATTGAAGTTTACTAATTATGGTGCAATGTCCATAATGAGGCAAATGTCTAGACTAATTACCCGGACACGATCAAAAGATAAAGAGATAAAGTGAAAGTTTTTTCGTCGCCGAAGTTCTTTGAGGCCAACAGAATTCCATAAGCGGCATGTGCTCAGGAGGCGGCTCACTTGCACTGCTGACAACCCACTCAGGATGGCCTGGAAAAAAACATTTAGCATTAACTTTCATCTCAAACTGGTAGTAAGGAAGTAAGTAGTTTGTTCATGCCTACTTGTTACACCTACAAATAAAAAATATAACTCAGTACTCACTGCAGTGAGTGACAGAGAGCGCATTTTCTCGTCGACGAAAACTTGAGGTCATGGACGGACAGACAGACAGATGGACATGGCGAGCACAATAGTGCATTTTTTCAATAAATGAGAAAATGTGCTAAAAAGAACTTATGTTTTGAATATTAGGTACAAATTAAGTAGCATAATAAAAGTTGAGTAACACACAGTTGGGTAATCTAACACAATTGAATAATTAAACTCAATAAAATTATGTCACCAGTTTTAAATCATTTGTAAAAAACACATCCCTTTTCCAGGCAGGAAGTTCAACCACATCAAGTAAAAGTAACATTATAGGTAGCAGAGAATTAACTAACATGATGCATAAAAATATAAAACCAGGCTGGTTTTCTTGGGGATAAGGTTTGAATTGAACAAGAGCAAATGTTAAACTAGAATGAACTCTGAAATGAACTAGTAGAACTCTGAAATGAGATTTTCATTTTATATTTAGATGATATTTAGAAAATGATCAAGAAGCCAAGCTGAATAAATCTTGAATATATATACTACAATAACTGTAATTCCACTCTACACAAAGCACAAGCATGGGAATATAGATAGGAATATAACCCACCTGAGCAATTTCAGGGTTAGTGCTCATGATAACCCCAAGTTTTTTTGGAATAAATGGTTCATCAGATTCCTTTTCTAGCACTGAATCCATAGCAGCACTTGTAAACTTCTGTAGATCTTCCATGTTAATAATATCACAAAGTAATAATTTCTAGATCACATCTCATGGCAGCACATAAGAATTTCAAATAACTATGTTTTGCAACTAATAAATGAAGCCATTTACTGGATCTTAACTATAATTTTGTCTCTGTAGCTGTTGGAAGAAGAGAATTGATTCATGCAGATATATCTGTAATCTCATTGTAAAGAAACAGAAAGATTTCTAGCACAATAAAATTTTATAAGCCAAGCATTAGAAGAGAGCAAAATAATAAAGTTTTGAAAATACAGAAAATGATTCTTGCAAGACACAATGAATGTGAAGACCATTTACAAATAGAAAAGCATGACAAAAATCTAGTGGAATTCAATTTAAATTGATTAGTTATAATAATCTGCTTTTATGGCTGGTTTGAAGCCAAATCTGAAGAATTTGTGGCAAGAATGTTTAGATTTCATCTACCACTGGAACTGGATGGTACTCCCGCTTTGCTGGCTTTTTGCCTATCAGCTCTCAGAAGCATACCTGCAGCATCTTAGCTTGGCCGCAGTCCTACTCTCCTCTGGGTCTGACATTGTGGTGGCTTGATGAAAGTGATTCCCATACATGGTGCTCAAATATTCTCCTGCTCAGCAGCAGTGGCACGCTGATGCTACACTCCTCCTTAGCTCAAAGATGTCATAAGTGAGGCTTGATTCTTGGCCAGAACCTTGCTTACCACACTCCCAGCCAATTTATTGAAACTGGATGATCCATTGGGACTATACAGTTTATAAATTGTATATTCCACCGATTTTTTGTTGATCACAGGAAGGTAACTACTTTATTTAACCAATTTTCTCAAGTTAGGGTTTGTCTACCTACAGGTGCAATGTTTATGGCCAGCCATGGATGACCGAGCCAGTCGTGAATCTATCTTTTGAACTTGAAATAAAGCTTGTTCAGTTTCTGGTAGTCAATCCTTTCTCATCTTCCTGAATTGTTTAATTTGTTACCGTAAATTACTAAGGGCGGAAATTCGCAGTCTTCTTTATTAGAGATTAAATTTCACATTCTTGTACAAAGCATACTCTTGTGGGGAGCATCTTAATAAAAAAAACTTTCTTACATACGGATGGATCACTTTGAAACTTGGTGGTACACATGTGTAAAACAGAAATCTAAGACTTTTTGTTTCTGTAACTTTTTTGAAAATAATGAAAGAAAATGTGAAATGAAGGGGATAGAATTCATCTCCTCCTAGGATTTTCAAGCTACATTGAGATACCTACAGATCATTCGATGTGTAAAAACCATACCTATTTATTTGTTATAGCTTTTTTCAAAATTTCTATTTTTGTGGGTGGGGAGGGATTTTTTATCAGTTTTTTTGGTCTATCCCTTCTCCCCCTGTTTGCAATATATAATCCAAACTATGACGAAATTACAAAAAAGTTACAATCATTCTCTAGATCTTATCTTTATAGATCAAATGGTATATCTCTCTATGCTGTAGCTTAAAAATCATAGGAGGTTTTTAAGATTGAAATTTTAACTTTCAGGAGAGCCAAAAAACTGAAATTTGTGATCATTGAAGGTATAGGTTTTACTTGCACTGCGATGGCTGTGGTGAATGAACAAATGATGGCATAAACATGGCTTTGGGTTCTTTAGATGCGCAATTTCTGGACCTCTAAAATTATACTAAAAACTGGAAAAGCCAAAATTTTCTATTTTTGCCCAAAATGCTCCCCTTAAAGTAAACAACCTTAATGACAAAATGAATAAATACCTATGACTCATTTAAAATTTCATATAAGAGTACTATAGACCATAAACAGTTGAAGAGAGCTTTTTAATGGGTTGATGGTCAACTGTCATTTCTTAAGGCAAATGTCAAGTGAATCTAAATTCTAAATAGCACTGAGGTTCAGACTGGGCAGCTCTCACAGTGTCTGAACCACATCCAATGTGATGTCAGCATATGAGAGGACTTTCACTTGTGTGGATTTTGGAAGATCACTCATCATTATGTTGAAAAGCATTGGGGGAAAGAACAGCACCTCGCAGGAGCCTCCTACTTAGTATCTGCCTCTTGGAATGGCAGTCACCAATCTGCACGGAGGTACTTTTGTCTTTCAGGTAGTGACATAGCCATCTAATTATTTGTACTTCCATCTCCAATTTAATCGTCTTGTAAAGCAGACCATGGTGCCATACACAGTCAAAAGTTCCTTGTATATCCAGGTAGACAACCAAGCTATATTTTCCACATGTTGTCTGATAATGTGGGTTAGAACTGCCAGTAGGTATGTTGTACTTCTACCGCAATGGTAGCCTGTTTGAGTGGCTGGAAACACGTTTCTTGATTCTATGTGATATGGGTCTATAGTATAGGTCTCTTTAGCAAAGATATTGGTCTATAGGATTTGATGGAGTCTTCCCTGGCTTTAGTATTGGACTGGATTCTTCCCTGGCTTTAGTATTGGACTGGATTATTCACTGGCTTTAGTATTGGGCATATGAGTCCCCTATGCCAAGCAGCTAGCACAACTCCACAAACAAAGCTAGTGTTAAATAGGTTGAGAAGCTCTATTTTGATGTGGTCTATGCTCCTTGCTAAAAAAGTATTGGCAGTAAGGTCATCACCTGGTGATACGTTTCTTGATGATTGGATACCTCTCTGGAGCTGATGGAAACTGATGTCAGGGATTTGTGGTGAACCAGTGGGTGATACTACACTCTCCACATTGTTAAAAAAATTGTGCAACCAAAACGAGAGTTGATTTTGTTCTAAGTTCATGCAAGTATTTTAAAAAAATATTTTCTGGCAGCTGTTTAGTTGTTACTTGATATTTCTTCTGGATTCACAGACTTTATTGCTTCCAATTTGAGCTACTGTGGGGCATTACAGAAAAATATCACTTTGTTCCTCACTCCTATTTCCTCACTTGTGTGTTGGTTGCCAATAGGAAAGTTTGAGCCTTGCTTACCACTGATCTTAATTGCTTGCAACGCCTTTGATGTAGGAGTAGTACTTCCTAGAGGCTCAGTGAATTTAGTTCACCTCTCTTTCTCCTTTTTCAGAGCAATATGTTTGGCAATTGCAACACATCTTCTGTAGAATATCAGGTTTGCAAGAGTAGGATGACTCCAAAATTTGTTTTTTGCTCTTTTCCCTTGTGCAACAGTAGTTCTACACTCATGGTCCCACCAAGGTGTGGTTTGGTGATACTGTCTGGAGCCAGTTGTCCTTACGATAGTCTTTAGCTATGTTAACGATTTTGTTGGCATTTTCCAGCTGATGACATGGTTGTTCAGATGCTTGGCTGCTTGGACTTGTTAGGTCTCTTCCTGAGGCTGGGGTGTACCAAGTTGGTTTGCTTTAGGGCTAAATCATATGGCATTCCACTTCTTGTCAATGCATCTGTAGCCTTGGCTTGCAAATTATATCAGCAGTCTCAGTGGCTGGCAATGTGTGGCCCTCCAGTTTGTGCACTTGTATACTGTTGACTTGCACATCTTTAGAATGATTCCTGGCACAGAGCAGACATCGTTCAGGGGCAGTGCACCCACTTGAAAGGTGTCTATGCCACTGGCACCTGTAGCATCTGAGAGATGGTGGGTTATAATCTCTCACTCAGTATGAGATACAGCCAAAAATGGCCTTTTCTTGTATTTGTTTGCCTTCAAAGTCCAGCTTGCGGACTATGGAGTCTTCTTTGGAAGCTCCAGAAAATTTTGGAAATCTGGAGATCCTGACTATCTTACAAGCTTGTCTTTGCATAGTTAAATGGTCATCAAGGTCATCTTGCCTTGGACCAATGTCATACCTGACTGGATCAATGTCTCCAGAGAAAGTGCTGTCCAAATTGGATGACGATCTATAGCATTGGGCTAGCCATTGTCTAAGATTCATGGTAAAGAGTAAGGTTTTCATTGCATCGTCTTCATTGGGTTTGAATTCCATGGCCACAATGTTACGCCTTTTGTTGATCCACACATCTTCAACTGTAGAATCTTGAATTTTTTTGTTTAATTCTCTGGCAACAAAGACTGGGTTTAGGGGAATTTTATTTGCATACAATGACATTTGCTTGATCAGTACTATGTTTTTATTTCCAGTTGACTGAGAGGTTAAAACTTCAAGGTGCTTATCATTTGTAAATGGTCTAACAAGTTTTGGACTGGTTCCTGTTAAGAAGCTGAGTGAATTCATTCAATTGTCTAGTTCTTTTTCTGATTCCGTGCTCTTCTGTTGTTTGCATCCACCGAAATTTTGGGGTTTTGTCTGTCATTAAGTGGAACTGCCCCAAGTTGTTGGTGAGTTTAATTAGGTGATATCCTTTTAATTGCAAAGATGTGTTGTGAGTGTCCCATAATTTTGCTACCTGCTAATCTGATTAATTAACTTTGTTTGTGCTTTACTTTTCATCCAATGTTTATTGCATTTCTTATGTCAACTATCATTTGCTTGCAATTTATTCTTGAATGCTTTGATTTGGTGTATTTATCTTAAGGGGACCTACTGATAACTTTGATAACTTCTATAGTTATTATCCGATTGACATGAAACTTCACATACATACGTAAAATGTAAAAAGAAAAACATTTTGCTCCTTTGAATTTTTTGAAAAAATTGATAGAAAACGTGATATTCATAGAAAACGGACAAATAACGGGTACTTCAGAAAATCTATCTCCTCCTACAAATATTCTCTCCCACCCGCTTCCCTTTAAAGAGACGTCATGAACGTAAATATTGGCGTACAGCGATGGCAGTGGTACCATTGGAAAGAGCAGAATTCCAGCTTTCAGATGAGCACAAAAACCGAAAAACGACAAAATTGAAAATTTTAGGCAGCAGGTCCCCTTAAACAACTTCACAACTTTTACAAATCACTCGAGTGGTTTATCCTGGTTCTGGTTTTAGCTTATCTTTGCAAATGTTTTACCTATTTCGCTCCAAATATTATAATGTTAGTCTGTTTTGTTTTTCATATTTCTTGCTTGCTGCATGCAACCAGAGTTTTTTAGACTCTTCCTTGAGTTCATTTTTTAGTCCTATAAGTAGACCAGTAGAGTATCATGGATACCAGCACTATCATACATAAGAAAATGGTTTAAATCTTGAGTAGATGAGGAAATTATAAATAAACAGATTATAAAAAT